TTCATTGTCAAATAAAGTTATCTTGAGAAAATTCGACACTTATATGTTTTGTCTTTACATAAATCACTCTACGAAATTTTTTCGGGATAGGCCCTTAATTGCTCATAGCTCCTATATAAAGTCCACTTCCTAAAATCACCTAAACGCACCTATTGGAGTAAAATTATACTTGATCTTTTTCTGCATTATACTAAATTGTTTCCTGATCGGTGCATAATTGGTCACAACTCCCTTATAAGGACCATTTCTGAAAATTACTTGAACGCAAATTTTATACATAGGTATACAATTTTTTCTGAATCGGTCCGTATTTGGTCACAACTCCCTTATAAGGGCCATTTCTGAAAATTACTTAAACGCACATTTTATACACATTTAGGTATAAAATTTGACGTAAATGTGTATTTTGTATATATGTATATAAATCATTGTACGGAATTTTTTCCGAACCGGTCCATATAATTGTTAAAAATCACTTAATACCACTTAATTCGTTATTAAATTATTATATCCGGATAAAATTCGACATAAGTATGTTCTGCGTATAGATAAATAATTCTAAATTTTTCTGGACCTAATCAAAATTAGTTCGACAAAAATTTTGGCGAGTTATCTAAAAAATAGATAGTTAGATGGGTTTCAATAAAAAGTAGCTTGCTGGTGGAGGGTATTTAAGATTCGGCATAGCCAAATATAGCACTCTAACTTGTTTTTTTTGCTGTTAACATTTGATAAACGCAATTATAATGTTAATTTTGGCAAAACAAATTTTGTTATATATTTATTCTAACTATAATGTAATTATCATAATAAATTACCCTAAATTCAATTAAAAATTATGTCTGAGTGAACAAGTGATGGTTTAAAGGGGAGAAAATGTCTAGAGTTGATTTTTGTGTAATGAAGATTACCCATATGACAAATACACATTTACGTTTTAAATACCGAATACTTTTTACTTCGGAAGATGATATTCCTCGGTTAAAATAACATGGTAACCTAAATAATGTTTAACTTCCTTTTTCTGGAGATTTCAAGCCGATACGAACGTGTTTGAGAGTATAAAAAGCCAATTTACAAATTAAATCTGAAATCATCTAAGTTTATTTAAATTCGACAATTCAGAAGGTAATTCTAAAATAAAGTTTTCAGCTTAATTTTAAATAAGCTTTAAAAATTTTACAAATGTTTAGCATTAAAGAACAAGGAAACATTAAACCCAATTCTGGGGGACTCGTAGTTGTAATTTCCGAGCCAAATATTACAGAAAAAATTGAATTGTTGGCTCAATTATTGATTTAATTCCAGAGAAAGTTCTTATTTCCAAACAATTACCTGCTTATCTAAAAGTAATTCCTTCTAAATCCAAAGGGAAACCTACTAATATTAAATTTTATCCTCTAAAAGAATTGACCACTTTTCCACGTTTTCAAGATTTGGTCTTTTAAAGTACTCATATCAAATCTCGTATTAACAACGTCATGCACGTGGATCTTAATCTGAAATTCTATAGAGCAAAGCCAAACACAAAAGAACATTTGCGGTAAGATTTTGAAATATATGAATTTTGAAAGTCTTCCAAACATGTATTTTTGTTATTCCTGACAGATTTCATAAATCGTCGAATGTTCTTGTATACCCTACCAAATATCATATTCCGAACCTGTATCATCACTACTCAACAGATTGAAGAAGAAGAGCAATTGATATTTTATTGGTATCAAAAGTAAATTGATCAGTGATCAGAAATGTTCTTAAAATCAAATTACATAGAAAATAGTGAAAAACGAATAATTAAAGTAAAATATATAGTTGAAAGAAAATATAAAAAAATAGTATGTATAAAGTTAAAGTGAAGGTAATTTTAAGAAAAGAATTTCGTTTGACCAAACATTTATTTAAAAATTGAAAAAGAAAGAAAATCGTTAAAGAAAGAAAAGCCAAAAAAAAAATTAAGTAGGTGCCAATTATTGTTATAAAAAGTATTAAAAACAAGTAAGAGTGCTATATTCGGCTGTGCCGAATCTTATATACCCTTTACCATAGTGTATTTAAAAAATATATATTTTATAAAATTTAAATTTATGTACCTATTTAATTTTCCCGATTATATAATTATTATAGCAATAGCAAAACAAAATGAACAACAACAACGCTAAACGAAATAAACACTCAAAAAAGAAAATACACAAGGCGTAAAACCAACAGACATCCAAACATACGAAACGAAATACACAAAAAAACAAAACAAAATACACAACGCAATGAAACCAACAGACATCAAACATACGAAACTGCACACCGACAAACAAAAACAATATACACAAGGCAATGAAACACACAGCCATCCAAACATACAAAACTGAATACAACAAGAAACAAAAACAATATACACAAGGCAATGAAACACACAGCCATCCAAACATACGAAACGAAATACTCGAAAAAAAAAACAAAATACACAACGCAATCAAACCAACAGAATCCAAACATACGAAACTGAATACACCAAGAAACAAAAACAATATACACATGCCAATGAAACACACAGCCATCCAAACATGTGAAACGAAATACTCAATGAATAAGCAGTGTTGTTGTTGTTGCTTATTAATAAAAGCATGAAAAAAATTGTCTGTTTTTATGAAATTTTCAGAGGTTTCTCGGATTTTTGCTTATATCTCCGTCATTTATGGACCGATTTTGCTGATTTTAAATAGCGATCTTCTCGAAAGCATGTCTAACAGAATTATTGAAGATTCGGATCTCGCCGATATCTGGGGTCCTCTAAAAACTGATTTCAACAGACAGACGGACATGGCTTAATCGACTCCGCTATCTATAAGGATCCAGAATATATATATACTTTATAGGGTCGGAAAATTATATTATAGAAATTACAAACGGAATGACAAACTTATATATACCCTCCTCACGAAGGTGAAGGGTATAAAAATATATGAGGAAAGTTGAATGTTAAAATCTGCATACCTATATTTCAAAAGTTAAAACATAAAGGTAAAACCTAGTTAAAAATGTAAAAAATCCTATACCTAAATATTGAAATTATAAAAAAATATCATAAAATATCACAGAAATACTAAAAAAATCACAGGTTGTTTAAAAATTTGAAGTATGCAAGAACATAATCACCCCTACTTATTTAGCAAAGTCAACTACAACAGTTCGCTGAGGCCTCAACGTTCCTGAGTTATAGTTGGTGAGTGGAAAACAAAATTATTTAATTATTTGATTTTCTTGCATATACAGTTAAGAATATAGGAGTAAAGAAGTATACATATTTGTAAAAAAAAAACAAGTAAGAAAGTATAGTCGGGCGTGGCCGACCATATGATACCCTACACCGGTTATGAATATTAAATGTGATTTATTTTTCATATTTCATATCTTCAATATTCCCTTGTTCCGATACATTTAAGCAATTTATGGATGAAAAACTAATTTTCTGAAAGAGGCTTTATATGGGGGCTAGGGGCAAATATGGACCAAGCCCGAAAAAATTTTGTGAATATATTTATATTTACATAATATTTTATTGTGCTAAATTTCATCTTTGTGTTTATAAGTTAATTTGGGACATTCAAGTACTTTTCTGAAGAGGACTTTGTATGGGAGCTAGGGTCAAATGAGGCCCGATCTTTATGAAATTTGGCAGGGTCATCAAGACTTCATCAAGACTTAGTTGTGCCGCATTTTATCGATATATCTGTATATTTATCATAATTATGAGCTCAAAAGCCCTTTTCGGGGGGTTCTGTTCTATGGGGGCTAGGTGAAATAATGGACCGATTTTACCCATTTTCAATAGGCTTCGTCCTTGGGTCAAATAAAACGTGCGTGCCAAATTTCATCCAATTATCTTGCAAATTGCGACCTGTACCTTGCGCACAAAGTTTACGATTCTAAGTCGATTGGCATACTTTAAGGTGGGTCTAGGACGAATATTTTTGTATGTTACAAACATCACCACAAATCCAATATACCCTCCCCACTAAAATGGTGTAGGGTATAAACAATAAATGTATAAAAGCGAAAGGCAAGAAGAAGCATTTGAAGTTTTTTCCATTTCTCTTTATTTTGTTTTGCTAATTTGTTAATATTCAATTTGTTTAAAAATGTAATTTTACTCCTCTATTCTTTATTATTCTTCACGAAGGGTAGTCATCTTGTCGCGATGTGAAGGCTTAAGTGCAATGAATCCTATGGGCCATGCTGACGGAGTCAGCTCTGCCCAAGCTGGCTGGCTCCAAGGGGTCACCCTTGTCAGACGGGCCATAGGACGAGCACGAAACTAAGAACTACCCCTCCCAACTGACAGATGTCTGTTTCCCATATTGGGCGGTCTGTCAGTACCCGCTCTATCGATTGTTTTTCCTATCACTGAGATAGGGCAATCGATAGAGCAGTCCGATTGAATCCTTAAAGGATTCATGCACTTAAATGTGCAGTCCGAAACCCATCAAGCGTCTGTTCCATATTGGGCGGCTTGATGGTCTGTTTGATCCCAGAGGGACGGCAGTTTTTGTGTCCTGGCAGTAGGTGAAAAATGCAAATCTCCCCCCCCCCCCAAATGATGTCTGAAGAGGAAAAATGCCCCTCGTATCCGGTTCGGGGCTTGACAATACCCGGAGACCCTATTTCCACAGCGGCGACACCGGGCTGTGGTGAATCGAATGTTACTGGCATCCGAGTTAGACAGGTGGTAGCACCGGGCCTGTCTAATTCGCAAGTTACTGGAGCAACAACAACAATAAAACCCGCAAGCAGCCGGCCCAAGCTGGCTGCTTGTAAACCAATCCCTCCCACCAAACCTTCAGTTGTGGGAAAGGTCCCAAGCGGTGAGGTACCTCTGCCCGTTGTGGCAAGTACCTCTGCAGCCGCGAGAGCAGCCCTAGCTGATCAAAAGTCAGCCTCTTCCCTGCCTTCGGGTGACAAAAATGTCTCCCATGTGCCACCTTGTGCAAGAGAGAAATCGTCGACCCCGATGTCGGGTTCCTCATCCGCACCTCCCCCTACGCTGGAAAAGTCGTCGAACTCGATGTCGGGCTCTTCCAGCGTACCAGCAGATTCCCAACGGCACAAAACCCCTTCCCGTAGGGCTTTTGCACATCGGCGCGCCGCCGAGCGCATTGTTGAGCGACATGGCGCCAAGCCCAACAATGTATTGTCCAAGGACGAGAAATCGTCTCTTGAATGGGCCAAAAGTATCCTGGCTAGACAACAGGACTCAAATCCTCCAGCCAAAGCAGAAGTGACGAAGTCTGCTGCTGAGGCGCCTAAACGGCAAAGATCAGAGGAAGAGTCCCCTTCGTTGTCAACCATCCAGCCGACGACTAAACGTCCAAAGAAGGCGCAAACTGTCGTCGTTAATAGGCCTTTCAGTGAGGTTGCCAAAAATCCACTGGTAAGGGCTATTATCGACAGGAGCAATAGTGACGGGGCCATCTCTCAAGATAAATGGGGGATCATCCGTCAACGAATGCTAGGGGTGTACTGGAAAATCCTTAAGGAAAATCCAGGACCCGCCCCCCAAAATGATGACGCTGGCTGGTTCCAGGGTCATATAAAACTGCTGGCTTGTTCGAATGAGCGCTCTGCGTTACTTCTCAAGCTAGCGATTGAGTCCCTTGGGGAAGTGTGGCCAGGTGCTATGTTGGACGTGGTCCCGGTATGTGAAATTCCTCGCAGACCGAGATCCATTGCCACCATCCCAACTGAGCCTCATGACCCGGCGGAGATTCTGGCGCTCCTTCAGAGCGGAAACCCTCATCTACCTACCCATGATTGGAAGGTGGTGAAGGTCTCCGAACCGATAGGAACGATCAGAAAGGCGATTGTGGTCCTTAATAAGGAGTCCGTGTCGCCACTGCGAGAGTGCGGAAGCAAAGTATACTATGGCTTTGATAGTATTACTCTCCGTACCTACCGCAGTGACGACAAACGCAACGCCGCTGCCTCGAAGGTTAAGCTAGAGGTTCCGCCCAAGAAGGACGATGATAACATCGACGATCCCGCTGTTTCAGAAGGCGGGGAGAACTCTCAATCGACCACAGGTCAATTGGGAGAACTCCTCGGCGATCTGAAAGTGGCGGAGGACGACGACACCCTTTCGGATACTGATCCGGAAGATGTCGACGTAACCGTCGTCTACGATCCTGACTTAGGAGATGGTGAAGGTATTGCAGATTAACCTTCACCACTCCAAAGCAGCATCTGCTGCCCTCCTCCTCCGTTTAGCTGAAAGAGGGGAGGAGCTAATCCTGGTCCAGGAACCGTGGACCCACCATGGTAAAGTTCGTGGACTCTCGCTTAGAGGCTATAAGCTTCTTCATGCTAACTGTTCAGGTAATATAAGATCCTGTATTCTGGCTAAGAGCCATTTAAACATCTTTATCCTGTCTGATTACAGCGACGAAGATACTGTTGCGGCTGCTTGGGAGTCTGGTAACTCAAACATCTGGCTTCTAAGTAGCTATATGGCACACGACCATGGCGACCAGCCACCAAATCGCCTGGTGAGGGAAATTGTGTGTGAGGCAGATAGGCGACACATTCCGCTTCTCATGGGTGCAGATGCAAATGCGCACCACACGGTCTGGGGAAGCTCAGACATTAACTCAAGAGGTGAGTCTCTTTTAGATTTTCTATTAGATAATAACCTAGTAGTAGTAAATAGAGGTTCAGAACCCACTTTCATAGTTGCAAATAGAAAGGAGGTACTGGATATAACGGTTGTGAATGCAAACCATATTGACCTAGTTCAGGGTTGGAAGGTCTCAAAAGAATGCTCCTTCTCTGATCACTGCTATATAGAATTCGAAATAGTGGTTCAGGCAAAGATTATAAAACCATTTCTCAATAGGAGAAAGACGAACTGGGAGGTACATAAAGCGACCTTGACTGATATTCTTCCTACTGCTCCGACGATAGAAAGTAGAAGTGACATTGATTTAGCCGTTAACTGGATCTCAAGCTCTATTAGTGTAGCCACAAAAAGGGCTTGTAGATTATCAAATGGTATGCTTAAGGGCAAACCCCCTTGGTGGGATCCCGAAATTGCGAAAACTCGAAGGTTATGTCGTAAATTATTTAACGAGGCAAAGAGATCTGGTAACTGGTCTCTTTATATGTCAAAAGTTAATGAATTTAAAAATCAGGTACGAAGTGCGAAACGTAGCTCCTGGAGAAAATTCTGTAGTTCTATAGAAAATTCGTCAGATACGAGTCGTCTTCGTAAGATCCTGTCTAAATCTCCTTCCGTCCCAAGCTATATACAAAAAGCGGACGAAAATTGGACTGCAGGTAGTCAAGAGACACTTGAGCTTCTCTTGAATACTCACTTTCCTGGTTGTATCCCAACTGGTGAATCAATTGCAGATAATCAGCACGGTATTGAACTAGATAATACTGCTGAAGATGTTATGATAGATGATGACATCATTCGCTGGGCAATAAGGAGTTTTGACACCTATAAATCTCCGGGCCCTGATGGCATTATTCCAGCAGATCTACAAAATAATTTAGATCGTATCATTCCCTGGCTAAGTAATATTTATAAGGCCTGTTTATACTGGTCCTACATACCTGTACAGTGGACCAGGTGTAACGTGATCTTTATCCCAAAAGGGGGAAAGACATCTCACACCAAGGCAAAAGACTTCAGACCCATCAGTCTGGCGTCATTCTTGCTTAAAACTCTGGAGAGGATAATTGATATCAATGTCAGGATATCTATTGACAAATCTCTACTCTCAAACTCTCAACATGCATACATGAAAGGTAAATCTGTTGAGACGGCGTTACATTCCCTGGTTGGGTACATTGAAAAGTACATGAGCTATGGAAACTTCACTCTGGTTGCCTTTCTCGATATTGAGGGCGCTTTTAATAACGTCAGATCCTCACCTATCTGTCAATCCCTCTCACAGATGGGTGTGGAACGATCCATCGTGAGTTTTGTAAAGAACTTGCTATCTGAACGGACTATTGTATCTTCACTGGGTGATACAACAATCTGTAAAAAAGCCATCCGGGGCACTCCTCAAGGAGGGGTGTTGTCCCCTATTCTTTGGAATATGGTAATAAATGAACTATTGGTCAAACTTGACTCACTAGGTTTTAAGACGGTTGCCTACGCTGACGATGTTGCAGTAGCGGTAACTGGTACGCATCTTGAGACTCTGTCTCAGAGATTGGAAGAAGCGCTGAAGATAATAAGCTCATGGAGTGTTAAATGCGGTCTCAGCGTAAACCCAGGAAAAACGGAACTAGTATTGTTCACAAATAAATACAAAATTCCTCAATTCTCCCTTCCACGCCTCAACGATGAGGTTCTCACACTGTCGGATAGCGCAAAATACTTAGGTGTTATTCTTGACAGAAAATTGTCTTGGAGCTTGAATATCATCTCCAGATCTTCCAAAGCCATTACGGCGTTATACGTTTGTAGAAAGGCTATTGGCCTGCATTGGGGTATCAACCCAGGAAATGTGAATTGGCTATATGAGGCGGTGATTAAACCGATAATGATGTATGGTGTAATTGTCTGGTGGCATGCACTTGACAGAATATCTAACAGAAACATTCTTACTAAAGTTATGAGACAATCTGCTCTTCTCATAACAGGTGTACTTAGGACTACGCCCAGTAAAGCGTTGTTTGCCATGCTGAACTGGCTGCCTGTGGATCTTCTTGCTAAACAACTGGCAATGAATACTGCAGCCAGACTAAGTATTACGAATAGATGGAACTACGGTTCCAGAGGTCATGCAAAGATTGTAGATCTTGTACCAAACCTACATCAAGCTATTGACTACCATATTCCGGAACCGTGCATATCGAGGAACTTCCGGTATAGTTTAATCTGCGATTATAATGAATTAGCACCTGAAAGTGTTGGAAGCTTTAATGTATATACAGATGGCTCAAAAACAAATAAAGGTGTCGGCGGGGGCATATTCATTGAAGAATTCGGGACGAAAATGTCTTTCCGACTCAACGACGAATGTACTATTTTGCAGGCTGAAATCTCAGCTATAAAAAGGGCTTCTAATTGGCTTAGGTACTATCGGATATCCAACCGAGATATCAGAATTTATACTGACAGTCAAGCCGCTATCAAATCCCTGATAGGTGTGTATTCTACATCAAAACTTGTCCAAGAATGCCGGGCGTCTCTAAACGAGATGGCGAGATATTCAAGAATTACCCTTATTTGGGTCAAAGGACACGGGGAAACAATTGGCAATAATACTGCTGACATTCTGGCAAAAGCCGGCACGAGGATGACCATACTGGATATTGACCAGTTCTGTGGTGTCCCCTTAGCGGTCATCAAGAAGCAAATACTTGATTACTGCTTCAATTCAGCTCAGGAGCGATGGTCTCAGGAGCACACTTGCTCGATCGCTAGGCTACTGTGGCCTCGTATGGATTCTCATAAAACATCCTACATTTTAGGGCTAAACAGAATATATCTGAGCGCTTTGTTATCAGTTCTTACAGGTCATTCAAAGTTTGGAAACCACGCTAGACGTATTGGTATTCCATATAATGACTTTTGTAGGAGCTGTCAAAATGAAGAAGAAGAGGAAACTATTACTCATTTTCTGTGTAACTGCCCGGCCCTGGAACCGCTCCGTCATCAGGCGCTGGGTTCGTCTCACTTTTCTGATCTATCTGATCTGTCAGCTATTCAACCTGAGTGTATACTAGCATTCTTGAAATTGTCGAAGTGGGTGTGTAACTAAATACACACTATGATTTTTCTGGTAATAGAGTCTTAACTTCTTCGCTATTCTATACTCATCATTCTACTTTCTATATCTGTTTCTTCACTACTTTCTTTATTACTACTCTTCCCCTTCCAAATGTTTTCCCTTATCTTTTCTCTTTACAGACGTTACAAAGGGACCGAATAGAACCCAAGTATAGACTTACTCGTGTTAGTAAGCAGTCTGAAAAACCTAACCTAACCTATTATTCTTAATTACTTGTGTATCTTTTCGTATATATATAAAAAAAACTTAATAATCAAAACAAACACAACGTTTATCTATTTCGGTTCGGTTACGATATTTAATTTTTTTTTAATTATTCAGAAGTGAAATTGGCATTTAGTTGGGTTTTCTTGTAGAAAAAGCTAATTTTTATACCCTACACCACTTTAGTGGGGAGGGTATATTGGGTTTGTGCTGATGTTTGTAACATACAAAATATTCGTCCTAGACCCACCTTAAAGTATACTAATATGTCCGCTATGTCCGTCTGTCCGTCCGTCTGGCTGGCTGGCTGTCCATGTAAACCTTGTGCGCAAGGTACAGGTCGCAATTTTCAAGATAATTGGATGAAATTTGGCACACCCTCATTTTTCGGCCCAAGGACAAAGCCTATTGAAAATGGTTAAAATCGGTCCATTATTTCACCTAGCCCCCATAAAACAGAACCCCCCGAAAAGGGCTTCTGAGCTCATAATTATGTTAAATATACCTGTATATTGATAAAAAGCGGCACAACTAAGTTTTATGCAAGCCTTGATGACCTTGCCAAATTTCATAGAGATCGGGCCTCATTTGACCCTTGCTCCCATACAAAGTCTCCTTCAGAAAATTACTTGAATGTCCAAAATTAACTTATAAACACAAATATAGCGATGAAATTAAGCGCAATAAAATATTTTGTAAATATAAATATATTCAAAAAATTTTATCAGGCTTGGTCCATATTTGACCCTAGCCCCCATATAAAGCCTCTTTCAGAAAATTAGTTTTTCATCCATAAATTGCTTAAATGTATCGGAACATGGTAATAGAAGATAAATGCTTTATTATGAAAAATAAATCACATTTAATATTCATAACTGGTGTAGGGTATCATATGGTCGGTCACGCGCGACTATACTTTATTACTTGTTGTATATTATCTTTAAATTTAAATATAAATTTTGTTAAATATTAAGAGAAATGTAACATAATTTTAGAAATTTTAGAATCCTAATAAAGCAAGTGAGATGAATAAATTTATGAATTCTAAGAAAATGAATCGCTAAATTTAAAGTTATGTTTTCTTGTATGACATGAATGCGTTAGGGTAGTCTGAATGTGGGTTCTTAGGAGCAAAATTAAGTGCCACTAAGAAATTGGTAGGTGTGGGTTTCGAGTCACATATCTCTGGTCATCTTGGAGATATAATTTATGATCATTAAGTTAGCTATAGTTATTCTCATATATAATAATAGTTTGGGGCTTTTGATTTTGTTTACTATGATTAACCGGACCTTTGTAGAGTAGATTCTGTTCTTGATTAGTGTTTAAAGTTATTTTAAGGGAGTCTATATAAAATTAATTGTAATAACAATAAAACAAAACGATAGGAGACAAGAACCCCCCAACCCGGCTGATCGCTAGCTATAACAAGGCTTCCGTCGTCGACCTTCGTGTTGTTTTCTAAATTTCTCAGGGAAATGTTAAATTTTATCTTATGAAATTTCTAGGGATTCGATTTCTAATCGTATTACACATTTCAATTATAATACGATTTGCGAATGTATTTTAATTTGTATATTTATTATAAAAGGATTAACAGAACTTATCATGAATAATAATAATTATAATGAAAAATATTCAAAACTCAATTTGATTTAGAAAATTTATATTTTTATATTATTATACAGTTTATCAGCAACGATTTTACTGACCATTGCGGAAGAACCCAAT